TATACTTATAAACATCCTAATAGTTACTACTTTACTTAGATATTTATATATAAAGTAAAGTAATCTAGAAGGTAATAGTAGAAGTCTAGATACTCTACTAGAAACACTAAATTAAAGAGATATAAGCCTAATAGAATAGCCTTAATATAGGCCCTCTATACTAACTTTTATTATAATTAGAAGTTATTATATAGTATAAGAAGAAAGGATAGTAGGGACTATTTAAATTAATAGGGATAAGAGGTAAGACCTATATTATTAAAGTACTATATAGACTAATAGAATTCTAGTCTACTATAGTCCACCCCTTCTAGAGGGAGGAAGAAGGAGGTAAGTTTAGGACTATAATTAGGAAGGGGACTAGGGACCTAGTGGATCTAGAGTCTATATACACTTAGGCGCCTCCTTACACTAAGAAAGACTTAGGAGGTACTAGTTAGGGGGATATATAGATCTTAGTAGAGCTAGAGCCTAACTATAATAACTAGACTAGGCGCTAGGTGACTATTCTCACTTACACCCTAGGCTAATAAGCTTAGCTCTACCTAATATCCTTAACTAAGGGTCCTTAGGAAGAGGGATTAACCTAACTATAGGGTCCTAAACCTACCTATATAAGACTTATAGAAGGGGGGCTAAAGGAAGAAGATAGAGAAAAGATAACTATAAGAAAGTCTAGAAGATTAATAAAAAGAAAGTTAGTTAAAAGATATAGAGTATATTTAATAAAAGTAGAATTCACTAAATATAATAACTCTTTAGAAGAGGGAATTAAAAGTAAGATCTTCTAAATTAAAGTAGAGAATAAAGAAGATATAGAATATATAATAGTATACTTTTCTAAGGAGAAAAATAACTATATAATAGTAGTTAAATTAAAAAAAGAAAGAGTTATTAAAACTCTTAGTATACTATTTAAATAATCTAATAAGAAAGAGATTAAAGGGCTTATTATAGTAAGTATATTTAAATTTATATAGTTTAATCTAAAGATTTATAAAAGTATAAGAATCTTTAAGTTAAGACTTATTAATAAAATTAAAAGTAAAAGAACTAAGAAGGAATATAAGAAGTTAAGAATAATAATATATAGCTTTAATAACTAAGGAAAAGCTAGAATCCTAATAGCTTCTCTAATAATCTAAAGAGTAAGCTAATAAATTATTATAATAATTACTTTATTACTAATTAGTAAGAAAGATAGTAGTTATAGTAAGATAGAAAGTAAAGAAAAGAAGATTTAATTAAAAGATATAATATAAGTATATATATAAACTAAAACTATACTAAATTAAATAATTCTAATAAGACTCTTAAAATAACTAAAGTATAAATACTTAAAAGGGATAATTATAATAGTCCTTAGGCCTCTATATAGAATCCTAGAATCTAGTAATTACTAGTATACTATATACTTAAAATACCTCCTTAAGTAACTTAGTATAACTATATTAACTTTTAACCTATACCTCTTTATTATAAATATATTAGAATTTAGTATTATAGGGTTATAAATAGATAATATAATAGTCCTTAGTAATAAGGACTTTATTAAGAAAGAAGATAAGAAAATAAAGAAAGTAAGGATTATTATAAAACTATAAAATAATCTAACTATAGAAAGCCTATTATTCTTTAATAACTACTACTTAGACTTAAGTAGAGATAGTATAATTACTATAAACTAAAGGGAATAAAGAAAGAAGTTAATAATCCCTTTAAATAAAAAGGAATATAATTAGTAGAGAGTAAGAGGAGTATATATTACTAGTATCTACTAGTTAGAAGTAGTATTTAACCTATTAGTTATAGTCTAATAATAATAACTAGAAGAGAAAGACTTTAAGAAGTTAAAAGTAAGAATCTAATAGTAAATAAAGAACTAAAAAAGAGGTATTTAAAGTATCCTAATTAAACTTTAGAAAGTAAAGATATTTATATTTATAAATAGATTATTCACTAATAATAAAGATTTAAATTCCTAGTTAGGATTTATTATTATAATTAAAAATAAAGAAAGAATTAATAATAAAGAATTTAACTTTAAAGATAATATTATTACTTAGAGCTTAATAAAGTTAAAGAGAGTAATAAGATTAATACTAGTATTAGAATTATATAGTATAGTTATAAGTATAGATATTAAATATATAATAAGTTTAATTATTAATATAATTATAAAAGAACTAAAGATTAAAGAGATTCTAATAGTAATCTATATAGACTTACTATTATTATATAAATACCTTATTAAGCTTAGAATAATAAAAGAAAAATAACTAATAATTAATATTATAGCCCTCTACTAGTTATATAAAAGAAAAGAAATCTATAAAATATAATAGATTAATAATAATAAAAACCCTATTAATATAATAATAAAGGTATTACTAAATTAAGTAATATAAAGCCTTATTAAATTAAATAAATTAAATATATATATAGAAGACTAGGTGGAGAGATAGAGTAAGAGTGAAAATAAAGGGCGCTAATTAGCTAAGGTAAGGCTAGAATAGAAGAATAAGGCCCTAATGTGTTAATAATAAGCTAGAACCCTTTTTATTATGTTTTTAAGTGAATTAGGCCTACTTATAAAGCTATAGAGAGAGAGAGTGTAAGTATTAAGCCTATATAAGTAGGTATTAGAAGGCGGCCTATAATTAGCTAGATTAAGAAAGGCCTTACTTTAATAGGGGCTATAAGAAGCCTTAAGGGCTTCTAAAAGGCTAAGATAGAAGGGGACTAATTTATATAGATAATAATAAGAATAACTAGAATTAACTAATTTAATAATATTATCCTATTCTATTAATATAAACCTATTCTAATAAGAAGTCTTAATAATAAAAGCGTCTCTGACTCTAAGGCTGCTGAAAGGCGTTATTGCACCTATTTAGCTAGGACTGCTCTTTATTTAGTTTAGATACACAATAGGTAAGAATAGGGGCGTAGGACTAAAACTAGGATGTAAATTAGAATGGCTAACGTGAAATAATAACGCTACTATAAAAGATTAAAAAGAAATTATATTATAGATTTAAAGTCTTTAGATAATAGAGTTACTATCCTAGCTCCTAGTTTAGAAACTCTATATATCGCCACTAGTGGAAATTTCGTTAAATTAGAAATAAGGAGAGTTAAAGTGTACTAGGCTATAAGTAAGGAAGACAGCTTATAAAATAGTCTATAGTACCTCTACTACTTCTACTCTTACTCTTTCCTATTATTTACTTATTATATTATTTCTAGTCGCTTATTAGTTCTATAATTTATTATCTTATTATATAAGCTATATAAGATTAACCTAAAAAGTTAAAGCTAGTTCTCTACCTTATAGGCCGCTTTATTAAAATCTTTCGTATATTAACGATTGTGACAACACACAGATAAGATACTTAACCTCTCCTTATAGTTTATATATTCTATCTTAAGCCTTTACTGTGTTATAAGGCTAGTAAAACGCCCCTTATAGCTACTATCTAGTGTGATCCTCACTACGCCATTAGGCACGTAAATCACGGATTATAGTATCGCGTATTAATCTACTAAACTCTAAATATTATCTATTTTAGTCTTTATTAGAATTCGCATGGGTAGAAGCACACCCTCTAACTATTATTTTAGTCATTATTGTTACGCTGTGAGGTAAGGACACTAAAGGTCGATTCATGAGTTCGGCCTGACTTTACACCTCCCGAACCCATTACTGGACAGCGATAGGAGAGGAGTTTATATGTTCAGCCCGCACGGTTTTACTGACACTACTATGCTAAATATTATTAGTTTAATAGTTCCTTAAGTATCATCTAGAACTTTCGTCAGTCGGTCTTATCTACACAACTATACTAAATGTAGCTTTTCTAGGATATATGCTACTAGTGGGTAGGTGACTAATATTAGTACGTTTATTTATAGGGTGTTACTACTATATTCTACTATATCTCTATAAAGGAATTAATTCTAGTAGTAAAGTAAAGACTTAATTATATTCTTAATAATAGTATAAATATAATAATAATTAAATTTTCTTATATAAATAATAATAAACTTTATAAAACTATATAGAATATTAACTCTAATTATTATATATTCTTTTTTATTAATAATAATTTTATATATTTTAGATTCTAAGTCTATAATATTAAGTATATTTATAATCTTATTTTCTTTATTAATAAAGAATCTTATAGTAGTTAGTATTTAGATTTATTTATCTTTTTTAAAATATAACTATTATTTATAATTAGTTTTAATAGTATTTATTAAGTATTATATTAGACTACTATTAAGTAAGAAGGGGTAGGTTATTATTAGAGTAGTATCTCTTATAAGCTCCTTTTATGTATTATAATAGAAGCGTTCTAGGAACTATTAGTGGCCCTTTATACTAGTTATAAGTGTAGATGATTAGCTAATCTCTATTACTTACGGCTATATAAGAGCGCTAAACGGTTCGCTTAGTGCTAATGTCTACTAGGCGTGCGTTTAGGTGGCTAAAAAATCTCTTTATAAAGGTGGGTACTAGTGTAGATGTAGGAGGAAGGTGTGAGCACGAGTCTAAGAACTCTAAAACTGGATGTACATCTATCTCAGGGTAACGTTGAACCTAGCTTTTCAATCTTCGTCTTGTACCAACCTTCCAGCTTTCCAACAGCAATAATGGCTTGTCCGTTTGCTGGTAGCTCGTCAACCTTCTCTGTCCCAGTCTCGCCCCCATTGCCTTCTTGTACCTCGACAAGACTACGTCTTATATCTAATAGGCGAATGCATCTGAGATCCAGAGATGTTATATTCTAGCTAGGAAGAAATGGCTAATAGGAAGCTTCACAATAGGCATTGTCCGACGATAAGTTATCAAGACTCCGCTTCGGCCAAGGGGTCATGACTGTCCTCTCCCCTTTCTTCACAGACTTCACTTTTCCATGAAGCGACGGACGGCGTCTATCGTTCAAAACCCATCTCCAAGGCCGCCCCATTCTGCTCACCCTGGTTACGATTTTTTAATCCTTATCCTCATCAATGCGGGGATTGATGAGCGCTGCGAGCTGCTCGTCGGTCAGAGCCGCGATACTAGCCATCACGCCCTCGCTGGGCTGCTCAACGGCGGCCGGCTCCTCGCTGCACTTTCCCTTGACGGCATCGGTCGGCATCTTGCCGTCAATGGCAACGACGCTCGAGCCGCAGTCGGCGCCGCGACCGACGTAGATGCAGCTATCATCCGGGTCATATACAACGAGCGAGCGGCGGGAAGGGGGGGGAGAGCGGGGGCGGGAGGGGAGCTTTACCAGCTGGCACTCCAGTCTTCTGAATAGCGATGATGCAGTTTTTGTCACTGTCAACCTTCTTGAGCACCATGTCGCCAAGGGGTACCGACACCGTGGTGCTGTCGGTCATCTTGAAGTCGAGCGACGCACCAGCGTCGACAACGTCGCAGGCTACTTTTAGAGGGCCCGTCGAGGGCTTTGCCTGGAGCTTGTCCTCGACAATCTTGAAGAGATCATCCTTCAAGACCAGAGCGGGCGAGCCAGAGTCGATGCCCATGGACAATGGCCTCGACGCAGTTTGGTTGTTGAGGATGACCTCACTACTACCGCCGCTGCTGGCCGTAAGAGAAACAGACTGGACCGAAACAATATAGCTATTAACCGCAGATGAGAATAGGGACAAGAGAAATGAGAGAAGATACTCAACGCGTGTACGTACTGTTTCGACTTATTCGGAAGGATGGGAAGCTTCTCGAGGGATCCGGAGAACTTGCTCGTGTCGTAGCCGCCAAAGGTCAGCAGACCTTGGCCCTTCTCTCGTAAAGCCATGCTAAACGCACGGGTCTTGACAATCATCTCGTCTAGGAGCTTTTGGGGAATAAAGTCGGTACTGCCTTTGCTAGTAGCACGGGGGGGCAGGAGGCCCATGACACCGACGATGCGTCCCACAGTAGTATGGGGGCTGTTCATGTTGCCAACCCCAAAGTTCAGTTTACCCATGGACTTGCCTAGACGTTGCTCGTTAGCCCCATCACATTTCAAGAAGAAGGCAACTAGAGAGTTCAAATCTCATCCTTACCGCCAACAGAGACGTCGTCACTAATCATATCGAACATGACCCTTTCCCTTGAGCCATACATAGCCCCCGAAATCTTCTTCAGATCCTGCAGCGAGGTGCTCACGCTTTTGTCAAAGTAGACCGACTCGGCACCCGTGCGGCCATTGGCTGGAGTTACGCCGGGCACCCAGAGCTGGCTAGACCCGGTGTCGGGCTCAACGATGACCTTTTGCGGCGGGGTGCCAACCTCGATGGTCACGCCCAGGGCCATGGCCGGCCGAACACCACCATACTTAATATTATCAAGGCCAACGGGCACTTGACGCTTGGTCGTCGCAGTGCCGGTCGTCTCATTGCTGCCCATCAGCAGCTCTTCTTCGGGGGCGACGGTAAAGAAGGGAAGTTGAAAGACGCCGTCCTGAACCACAGGCTGAACGGCACCCTCTCGCTCGCCGGCACCGTCATGCTCAGCCGGCGTGACAGTGCCATCCTGCTCGACCGGTGCGACAGGAGTGCCCTGCTCTACTGGCTCGACGACCGGCTGGCTGGCATCCTCCTGCACGACCGGCTCGACGACCGGCTCGGTGGCAGTACCGTCCTGCACGACCTGCCCGACAGCAACGTCTTGACGAGCAGCATGAGGTGCCGCCACTGCTTGGCCAGCCAGGAGGCAGAGAAAAGCCGCAGAAACGTGCATGGTTCTCAGAGATGAAACTTTGTTGTAAAACTGTGGGTTTGAAAACCAAAAGGAATGAGAAGAAGCTCAGATAATGGCGCGATGGATATTGATGGTCCAGGTGGTTCTGAGGCGGACTACACTGCCTTTTTATACTCGCAGTAGCTTCCATGAGTGACTCTCGAGACGACGCTATTGCCTTCAAGTCGAGCAGATTGCATAGATATGCTGACTAGCTCTCTGGACTATACAACATGTTGGGATACCGAGCAACTGCGTAATGCCTTGTCCTCTTTTACCTGTGTATAGAGTAGATGTAACGATGAACAGGGAGGGCGGCATATAGGTACCAAGCATTCGCATCGCATTCGCCGAGTCATCGGCTGCCAGATACATGGTAGAGTATGAATAAAGGGTTGCGGACCTAACGAATATCGTAGCCTTGGCATGTTTAACTTGCGGGCTGGCCCTTACTCGATCTTCGGGTCGCTGTCGCTGAGTGGTAAAGCCAGTGCATTATCACCAAGATGATAAAACGCATCTTACTCTGTAAACAAGAACCCTTGTTTTCTGTCTGTCTTGATTTTTCATTCCCCCTTTTTCTGCACTTTAACTTATTCTCTTTTCCTATTCGTTACTGTTTGGTAAAGGTACTACACGTGCCGCAGTACGAGTGTGGCATGTGTAGATTCCGAACCTTCGGGATATATGGCTGACACAAAGGGTAGCCTACCAATGGTTCATGCTTAAAAATATGTGTAGTAAAAGTATTAAGCTAGGCTGATTACTTGTGGTTGTTAAAGCGTCCTGTTGTATGTGTGAATCGTAAGGTCGCTTCAATTGCACTGCGGCTTCAATATCACTCTGTCTAATACTGAAATTTTATGCTTATGCTTACGCGTAACTGCTGTTCGCCCCATTAGCATAGAAATTGGTCTACTGGTTTTCCCGGCGTGCTTTTATATGCATTGTTCAAAAGTCATGACTTTGATGTGGTGGGGACAAACATTTGTAGTCCCTATATTTAACCCCCGTTGATCTGTGTGCGGCTCCTAGGAAGTGGCGTCAATTTTCCTGGAGATCTTTCTCATACCTTGAGTAAACACTGTTTACCTTCGTGTTTCCTTATTTATTGTTTTTGAAGTTGTCGCCTTTATTGGCAGAAACTAAACCTCAGGTACCTCACATCATTACATTGTAGCCCTGTTCATGCACTTGTGGGGACGGCCCGTCCCACAGCATTAGCTAATAAGACAGCACATCAAACGTCGTAGAAATGCATGCTACAAGCGTTATACAGTCGCACATTAGCTAAGGTACCGCCATTTGTGCAAATGAATAATTCGTCTATATTATACTAGAATATATTATATTTAAACGCCTATTTCTCTATAACTAAGAATATAATAAAAAGAAAATTTATATACTAATAGATAATAAATTAATCTATAATTTAATATATAGAAATTCTAATTTATAGTTTTTTATAGAAAAGTAAGTATATAAAAATACTATATTTTAGTACTTTATAGTAGTAAGCTTTTACCTATAATAATATATAACTATAGAGTACTATATTATACTAAATATAGTATCTTTATATATCTATTTCTCTATAAATAAGAATATAATTTAATAAATTTCTCTATATACTAATAGATAATTAATAAATTTATAATTTAATATATAGAAATTCTAATTTATAGTATTTTTATAGAAATAAAAGTATATAAAAATACTATATTTTAATACTCTATAGTACTTTATAAAAATAAGTATATAAAAATACTATAGAGTATAAAGTATTATAAAGTACTATAGAATACTAAAATATAGTATCTTTAAGTATTTATTTCTTTATAAATAAAACTAAAAAAAGAGGTTTCTATACACTATATTATAAATAAATTAATTATTTATTAGTACACTTAAATTTAACTTTTATAATAAGAATCTAGCTTATAACCACACTAAGCCTAACCTAGTAATAAAATTAGAAAAGAACTTAAGAAAGGTAAATTAACACTTCTAACCACCCCTATATAATACTAGCTTAGGGCCGTATTAATAGGGGTGGCTATAGTGGCTAAAATAATACTAAGGACGTATTAAGATATAACTCTCTAACTAAAGTAAGCTATAATAAGCCTAATATAAGAATAACCTAACTAAAATAGTTAACTAAATAAGAACTTATAAATAAGCTCCTCTTCTTAATCCCTAAGGAGTATAAAGATAGAGTAAAGAAATTATAGTACTAATACTAATAAGTATTATACTATACTAAAGCTACTATAGCCCTAATATAAGTTTCCCCCTCTATTATTAGAATAATAATCTAAGTAATAATTAAAGAAATAGTTATATAAATACTAAAAGTAAATAAAAGTAAAGAAAAGTATAAAGACTACTATTAGCCCTAGTCCTATACTAATATAATAGTAGACTAAAGGTAGTTAACTCTATCTACTAAGCTAGTACTAGTATAATATAATAAAGAGTTAGTAGTTAATACTAAAGACTATACTTAAGAAGTATAGAACTAGTTACTATTAGAGGTAGTAGTAGTAGTTAATAAGGCCCTCTAGACTAATACTATAGTAGCTATATAGTAGTTCCTATTAAAGGATATTATCCTTTTATTCTATAATAATATAAAAGAATACACTAAAGATAACTAGTAGGTAAAAACTATATTTAGTATAAAGGTAATAATAGCCTACTATATATATACTATAGTAGTTAAAGTAATACTAATAGAGGAGATCCCTTAAGACACCTTAGGACTAGTAAATACACTATTAGCCTTTAATAAAGTAAAAATAGCCTCTACTAAAGTATAACGCCCTTAGACTAGAGTAGAGATAAAGGTATTACTAGTTATTAGTATATATAATATAGAAATAGTAAACTAACTCTATAAGAGAGGAGTATACTTTAACTCTTAAGTATTCTAGTATAAGCCCTATATAGAGATAGTATAGCCCCTATAGTACTTTTAGTACTATAGGTTTAATTATATTAGGAAATTCTATACTAAAGATAAGTAATATAGTTAGTATATATACTATATCTATAGTAATAGTAAAAACTACCTAGCCTAAGAAGACTCTACTAAAGAAAGATACTTAAACTATAATAGAGGTTATCTAGTATAGGCCTAAGCCTACTTTATTATAGAATAAAACTAAATAAGAGTTAATAAAGTATACTAGTACTACCCTACTTACTTTAAAACCTATAATACTCTTAATAATAGAATACTATAGTTACTAAGAGCCTCTTCCTTAAAGAAGAGGGCTATAAGTAGTCTATAGCTAAGGGGCTACCCACTTAGTACTAGGCCTACTAAGAGACCCTTCTCCTACTAAATAAATATACTTAACTTTAAATATAGTTAGAGTTAGGACACTACTAAGTAACCTAGTCTAATATAGATTATACACTAGGATATACTTACTTTTAACCTAGCCTTAGGGCCTATTACCCTAGTTATAGGATCCTAATCACCCTAAAGGCTAACTATACTACTAATAAATATAACACCCCCCCCCTCCTAACTTAAGTAACTATAATACTACTTTAGGATACCTTTATACTAGTTTAGTATAAGAGCTTAGGCTATAGCCTAGCTAGACTAATAGCCTAGTGGCCGAAGGTATAGGGCTAATAGGGGGGGGGGACTCCCCCTTATATATAGTAGCCACTTCGTTATAACCTCCCTACCTCTTCCTCTATAAGAGATTTAATTTAAATTTAACCTTATATTAACGCCTACTTATAGAACCTCCCTACCTCTTCCTCTATAAGAGATTTAATTTAACCTTATATTAACGCCTACTTATAGTAGCTATAGGGCTAGTCCTTAATAATTAAATCTCTTCTTAGTTTTTTCTTAGTTACTATAATAGAAGTAAAGTAGTCTTCTTAAGAACACCCTAATAGACTATATTAAGCTAGTGGTGTTACTAAATTAAACCCTACTTAAATAAAATAATAAACTATAAATAGAAATATAGCTTCTCTAAGAGTAACTCTTACTAACTAGCTCCTAGGGCTAGGGCGGACATACACATCCACCCTTATAGATGACTATTAGTATTAAACTAGTATTAACTTATATAACTATTTAATAGAAGCCCCTCCTATAGAGGGAAAAATTTAATAAAGATATAAAAACCTTTATAAGTTAGAAGTAAATAATAGAGTATAAACTAGAAATTAATAAGGCCTTTATTAGTCTACTATAAGCCTAGTTTATATATATATAGTTAAGCCTTAGCCTAATTATATAGTAAAAGGTTATAGTCTACTTTAAAGTAGGAGGCTACTAAGGGGAATTAGACCCTTATATATTCTTAAGTTATCTTAAAATAGTATTTAGTGACCCTTACTACTAGGAGCTAGTAATAATACATCTTAGCTTAATAAAATAGTAAGAAAAGGAGTCCTTCTCCTACTACTATATACACTTTAAATAGGAATTAGTAATAGTAGGAGGGCTAGTATAGGTAGATAAAGTTAAGCTAGATAAGCTCTAGCTCACCCTTTCTAATACTATAAGGAGCTTAATTATTAGTAGGCGGATCTCCTAGATAGATTATAATATAGTAGTATAAGATATCTAAGTAATCTTTATAGACTTAGAATCCTTTTAGATTAAAGAGAACTATTAATTATAAACTAATAAACCACTAACCTAATACTAAGTTAATACTAATAGGGATATAGTGATAATAGGAATTAGTGTATTCTACACCTATCTAGGGGCCCCTATAAAAGGGCTATAGTGCTAGTTAGGGGAGTAGGAGAGGGCGCCCTAGGTGTCTAAGTTAGTATTACACTCCTAGAGGGAATTAAGGGCCTACCTTTAGTATAGTTAAGATAGACATTATATTATAAGATACTATCTACTCTTAGTAAAATAACTAGATATATAATAATCTTAGGTTATAGTAATTACTAACTAAAGTAATAACTTAAAGGTAGAAAATAGTAATATCTAAGGAAGTAACTCCCTT